CTTCTTTCACACACCCAGAAAGTTAATCTAGCAACAAGAATCATCACCTTGATTGTGCACGTAGGTAGTTAGTGTTATCCGAAAACCCTAGCAACCATGTAATTAAAATTTTCCAAAACCAACTAGAGGACGTCTAACTTGGTTTTGCAGGTTTGCATATGATGTGGTATAGCCTTTGTCATGATAATGAGTTTATGTATGAGATGGTTATATGTTGTAATGTTAAGTGGCATGCATCTCACCGCATGATGGCTAGAGCCACGGGATTGCCACCTTAATGTAATTGACGTAGAGATAGCCTACAGGTTACACGGAGGACCCGGAGCTTCACCAGGCGTAGGAGAACAAAAATGGTGCCACAGCGGTAGTTCTAAAATTGTTTCCATGACAACAATTTCAGAGAAACCTTCATGAAGGCCTCGGAGGACCATGGAAACATTCCCGACACCCAACGCTATACCATATCATGCTTCTGTGAATTTCCTGAGATGTTTATCCCTTTGTTGTTTGCACCCTTTGATTGCACGATAGTCAATTATTAGGGCGATCTCTCATAGTTAAAATCAAGATTAAAAGGTGCTCTTCCCAGTGTTGCAACCGTCTACTTATTAATTTTAGTAATGGAAATTTTTAGTTGGTAGAATTTGAAAAAATGTTCTGTACTTGTTATATTGTGAACTTAGGGCATATTTTTAGGGTTTAGTAAAAGAAATAGTAATAGTGGATGATAATGTAGATGTTTTAGGTATAGAACATTTTGAATAGATGATGATGTAGATATTTTAGTACAACTAGTTTATTTAGTGTTGCTCAAGAATTGCTCATATGATGTAGATATAAACATGTATACCTAGTGTTTCTCAAATAGGATATGTGCTTGCCTAAGTGGTCATGTTTGCAGGTAACAACTCTGAGTGGCCTATGTTTTGCCGGAGTGTTGATTAATTTGCATTTCGGCAAATTTCAGGCGCTCGATATGTCCTTTTTTTTAGCAAAGGCCATGCCGGATCTTTCCTCTGAAGTGGATCGTTAATCCTTTTGTAATATTGCTTTAGGAAAATGGAGACACCAGCACCACCAGGTCGACTGTGCAAGTCAAGATGCGCCAGCAGCCTTGCAACTGGCCCGTTGTTTGGCATCTACTTCCAGCTGAGTTTTCTTCCTGCGGCGGTAACAAAATATATGAAACTTGTAACAACTATTTTGTTTTTAGTGTTATTGGCATTAATGCATTGTATCATTGTGTATACACAGATCGTCCCATGCAATGTGAGGTTGGAATTCAACAAGCTGACCGGAGACACTGTGACCTTTGAGGCTCCTCAGGGGCCCTACACTATGGAGGTCGAGAAAGGATGAAATATGTCACAGATCGGAGGATATGGATGTAACCGTTTCATCTCCCACATGGATATCACTGGTGGTGAGTTGATCAGCTTCTCCTTCAGAGCAGAAAGATCCAAGTTGGCTGTCATTATTCTCAACACGGATGAAGATGATGAGGACCCACTTGATGAAGCCATCTATACTCGAAGAATAAGGCTGAGCGAGGACGAGGTGTTCAACCTATGGGACATAATTCCGCCACGTGCTGACGTTGTTGGGGTGCCATTGGTGACCCGCCTGACAACTACCATGGTTGGTCGGCATGTTATGGTATGTTATACTTAGTGTACAATCCGATTACATGCTTACTTAGTAGAATTCAAGCTTAGTAGAAATGTAGTACTGTTTTTGATAGTGTAGAAACCTATACTTAGTAGAAATATATTTGCAAGAGTATGTGCGAGGCTACTTATTAATTGATATGTTTTTCTTATTCAGAAATTGCCAAAGAGCCTATCTGTGAGTTGTGGTATCGAGCCTGATGAAGAAGGCTCTGCTGGAATACGCCTTACCGCAAGGGCTCCGTCACCACCTGTGCGTACGGCGTGGACATGGACGGTCGCACACACTTCAACTCAGTTGGGTGGAAGAACTTCCTCGTTGGCAAGAATCTTCGTGTTGAACAGGCCATCCTAATTACTATCAGGAACACCCACCGCCATGGCTTGAGGATGATGGTCGTCGTCGATATCATCTAGAACTACATATGTGTGTGGTTGTATGACTACCCCTAGTAGACTGCTATATGTTGTATGACTACCTAGTACTGCTTATCATATATGCTACTGTATGAACCATATATGTGTGTGAGGATGCATGTTGACTCTATATGAGTACCTATAATGCTTAATAATATTGTATGACTACTGTATGACTATATGGTATTGTGGTTAATGATATTGTTATTTGGTATATGTGAAATTACAGTTTATTGAAACAGGGTACTATTCTAGATCAATGGGAAGCATGGGAAAATCTTGAAAGATACAACAGTAGCGCGGGCAAAGAAAAACGCTACAGCTACTTATTAGTAGCACATGTTGGGAAACCGCTACTGATACAGGCAATACTAGTAGCGCGTGTACATAGAGCGCTACTACTATCTGTTAGTTGTGGCGCCTTATTAGTAGCGCGGCCACCCGCTCTACTGATAGAGTTAAAACGCGCGCTACTACTAGGGTTTTCCCTAGTAGTGTCGGTTCATAATTGGGTCTTTGGAAGTTTTGTACAAAAAGAAGGCAAGGACCGAATGTTTTGAAATAACTAAGTCCTCGATTGAATGCAAGATGGCAGAGGGTTCCTCAATGAGTGAGCATATAGTGAAGCTCGCCAGCTATGTTGATAGACTAGCTTCTCTGGAATTCCTCTAACAATTGATACATATATTGTTCTTGCTTCACTTCCCCCATCTTATGATGGTTTTATCATGAATTAGAACATGAACAGGATGGAGAAAAGTGCAAACGAGTTATTCGCTATGCTCAAAACTGGGGAAGCTGGAATGCAAAAAAAGAAACAAGTGTTGATGGTCAACAAGACCGCCAGTTTTAAGAAGAAGGGCGAGTCCAAGAAGGAATCTACTGGTGCCGGTAAGACCATCTCTCAGAACAAGAACAAGGGCGAAGCCCAATAAAGAGACTGAATGTTTCTACTGCAAACAGAAGGGCACTGAAAACACAACTACAAGAAATACTTGGCGGATAAGAAGAACGGTTCTTCCAGTAAGATATAAAAGTTATACAAAGTTAATGTTATTCTACTTGTTGACTTATTGTATGTCATGAGTATTTGATACTAATCAGTTTTGCAAACCGATGCAAGGGCTACGGAAAGCTCGCAAGTTGAGAAGAAATGAAGTCTTGATGCATATCGGGAGGGATCACTACTAAAGACCATTGAAGTCATGCATTTAGTTTATCTTCAAAATTTATATTAGATCGAATAATAGTTATTTCATTCTAGAAGTTGTGTAAAACAATATATATATTGGGTTATGCGACGGGTATTGTTATGAAGTTTTTAACAATTGTTGTTCAAGTTATAAGAATATGGTTTCGGATTTACCTCTATTATTGATGATTTATTCATAAAATCTTGAATTGGGAAATTTATAATATTAATGCTAAATGTCTTAAAGAAGACTGATGAACCACACTTATATGTGGCACTGCTTGGTTATATCGGAGAAATAATCTTCGTATAGATGAAGCATAACTTATATTTTTTGATTTTGAATCATTTGATGAAATACATAGTGATGTATGGGGTTCGATGGACTAACCCGGGCGAAGTGAATTATACTTCATTAAATAAAACCTTGAGTAAATATGATTTACTTGATATAAGTCTGAATTATTTGAAAGGTTCAAAAGAAATTTAGAGTGAAATATTTGAAATATTCAAACAAAATTTGTGATAAAGATAAGAATCATTATGACAAGGATAAATGGATCTTCAATCATGGAGAAACATTATCTAAGTCATGAGTTTAGCAAAACATTCAGATAATTGTGAAATCATTTCTTACCGATTTGTCTCTAGTAAATTTGGGGATATATATATATATCTAAAACGGTAACCAATACACTGAACGGAGCACCATCTTATAGTTTGGCAAGACAACACCATATGAGTTATCGAGTATACAATCCAGACAAATACTAAAATTGTAGGCAATCCCATACACATAAACGGGATATTCCTTCGACCAAAAGGTTCAAAGACAAAAGTGTCTGTCACAAAAATTGAACACTTTATCGAGAAAGAGTTTTTGCACTCAAGAAGTAAGTGGGAGGACAGAGAATGCACGGCGAGCGGTAGCAAGCCATGCCGTCCTGGCTAGAGGAGAGGTCGTGAGGCGAGCCGAAGGAGTGCAATGGAGGAAGAATGGTTCGAGGAGGAAGAAAGCTGGAGGAAGAAGAAAGAAGAAGGACTATTGGATGTTAATTCAACATCCTAGAATATTGGTTTACCAAAATAAAATTTGTGTAGACTTACCTATCGCCGGTCCCATACTTTTTGATGAAGATGAAGATAGTGAGTGGTATGTTGGGCATGTATATACTCATTAGATACCCCATGTGATAATAGGGGGTAAGAGGGAGCATGTTAAGATTGCTCTTACTCATTGTAGTACTTTGATACTAGGTAAATGTCTTTTGTCGTTTTGATATGTGATGTAAATAGTCATATATTTTCAATTTTGCATCAACTTTTGCAAGCCCTCATGTTATGGCACACAGTAAACAAAGATGTTGCCATCTTATTAAGGAAAGATTTAACAGCTGGACATTCTCATAAAAATTTAAAAGACACATTATGAAATAATCAAAGTTATAGAACACTTATGGCCATCAATGTATTATCTTGAGGCATCATGTTTTAGCAGGTGCGCAAAGTCAATTTTGTCAAACAGAGTAAACTGCATCAAAAAAGAATGCATGTCATTAGTGACCATACCTGATCTGTCGACGACCCTTGGCCTTTTGTCTCCATCTTATTTAGCTTATCAATAATATCCCTTATAGTCGGCCTTTTGTGACGATCTTTATCCACACAACTTAAAGCGATTTTAACGCATCTCATTACTTGTTCGGAGTATGCCTCCAGTGCATTCACTGATAATTCTTGTAACATATGCCCCCATTTTTCCTGTACCTGTTAGTTCAGAATATATAATGGATATAGATACTAAAATAATGATAAAGTTTCTTCCTGGAACAAGTACTGAGATGATAACAGGAATTTTTAGCAATTTTTCTTACATGCTCAATAAATTTCTCGTAGGGCATTTCAGCACATTGGGTGTAACCTGTAGGTCCAGCTATTATCTTTATGATGATAACACCGAGGCTGAATATGTCCAGCTTATTTGATATTAAACCGCTATCTATATATTCTGGCGGTAGATACCCACTTCATATATAAGACATCATATATGTTAGTGATACGATGAAATGCAAAAATAACTGCTTGCATTTGTATTATAAATTCTGAAACCACATAAAGATTTTTTTTAAGTTAAAGAATTGTGCTTACAGTGTTCCTGTACGGCTTTCTGTGACTCGCGTTTGTTCTTGTCCAAAAAGCTTCGACAAGCCAAAATCTGCAAGCTTCGGCACCATTTTGTCATCCAATAATATATTAGCTGGTTTTAAATCCAAATGATATATAGGAGGTTTCAAGTCCTCGTGAAGGTATTTCAATCCCTCGCAGATCCCCTTAATTATTGCATATCGTGTGGGCCAGTCATGCCCACTATACTCATCTGTTGGAGTGAACACATAGTCTTTCAAAATGCAAATTTCAAGAATACGAATATGCTACTTCAAGTGTTAAACTAGTACAAGAAAAGAATAACATAATAATACCAGAAAGATATCTGCCAAGATCCCCATTTTGCATATACTCGAAGCATAGCGCCATATGTGTCCTCTCAGCAAAAATCATTTTTTCATTGTGCAGTACACATTCTTTCTGAGTCTCATGGCAAAAGCCAACTAAACGCACAATATTCTTGTGCAGCAGACTTGTAAGGTTGCGAAACTCCTTCTCAAAATTCTCATTATCACGCCCAGGCATGGAATGAAGCAACTTCACAGCAATCGTTTCACCATTTTTATGCACCCCCTGCTCAACATACCGCACATGTGCATGGTTTATGTAACAATGCTATGAATGTGCGGGGCCAGTAAACCATGTATACATCTTAAATCGTACCTTGTAAACTGTCCCAAATGCACCGGCACCAAGTTCCCGGTCCTTAGAGAAACCATTTGTCATTTTCTCCAATAAATGGAGTGGCACATGTTTTGGAAACACACTGCTTGAATGGGCCAAGTTAATGCTTCCCCTGGTTACAGAAGGAAAAGGAGAGGGGAGAGAAGGCGCTGTTGGGATATTAAGAATATCGCAAGACGACTGAAAGCCGTTCATGAATGGTCCTGGATCCTGCATCGTTCCGATGCAGAGGCCGAGGGCAAGCCTTTTTTTTCAAAAATATAAAATGAATGGTGGATCCTTGTTAGCCTGAACTGCCTCCAGAAGGCCCACGGCTGCAGATTAAAGCTGATACAGCATAAACACAAACATGTGATGATAAAAACCAGAACCATCAGGTTCTTGAGGCAGCTTATTAACAAAAAAAGGTTCTAAAGGAAGTAGATATAGAGACTCAAACCTGGAGAAGACGTGCACTCCTATCAATGGATGTGCGTTAGTGGAGGCGCAGATCGGCAGATCACGTGATGCTACAGGGGCAACAGACCGAATTAAATTGGAAGGTTAACTAGTAGAATAATTGTACTCGATCTGATACGAATAAATTGCCGCCGCCACTGCGTCAATTAATTCGGATCAGTGGGAGTACTAGTTCAATTTCACGGCAGCCAAGTTCGGCCCTTCATATACAGAGTATGTTTCAAATTAAGGTCCAATCCACATGATGCAATCTGCATGTGTACTCAAATGAGTAAGACCTTTAGAATGCACTTGTGATTTTGGACAACCAAAAAACAATAAGAAGATTGCACGTGATCTATAGACCTCCAGGACTTCAAAACAATGGTCAGCAGGATTTAGGAACTTGTTAAACATACAGTCAAGAAGTCTACAGATCTACTAGTATCATCTACTGTATTTATTACGAGCTCTTAAAATGAGATGAATTCAAGTTTATCTATTACAACGATGACCATTTCCGCATGTGCAGTACTACTATGCATCACTTTATCAAGACATACTACAAATCCAATTCATGCATGAACAAATCTGATATACATTTTGCAGATCCGATGAGCATTCAAATCTGATATTCATTTTTTTCCTTGTAAACCAGATCTGATATATTTTGTTCCCAGTCAGTATCCTTAACATATTGCAAGCATAAGCATCATTAGAATTTTTTACTGATTTTCTCCGCACTGACATCTACCAGTAGACCAACCGATACACAAATCAAATCCATGCATGAAGAGGCAAAACATGGGCAGCGTCCAGATTAAGGGCAGACCTACCAGTAAATCCAGATCTGGCATCATACTATTAACCAGCACTATGTTAAAGCAGAAGCAGATGTAAGGTGTGGAGAGTGCACTAACCAGGAAAATAAGTCTCCGCCTGCAGAGCGGTCGTAAGCACGCAGTGGAGAGAGGGAGTCAGCCGGTAGCTGGAGCTTCTTGCTCTTGGGATAGATATAGATCCCATCTATACAATCCGTGCAGATGCCGCCGGATTAAATTAAACCGAAGCCTGCAGTGAGCAACAACTTCCAACCAATAGTCGTACATAATTTCAAACAATAATTTTCCCCTTCGTTTGAGGTCCTGACATAAAAACATGTTAATGAATTTTGTATTGGAACAAGGTGTCGTGATACGACCACCAGTGACCAAACGACTCTTTTTTGGCGACGAATCTCCTAGCCATCCTCGCGTTACGGACCGGGAAATATACTACGAGCGCGAAAAAGACACTTTCGCGAGCGCACGTCCCAATGCGCTATGGACACCAGCGTAGAGTTCTCTCTAATCACTCTTCCCTTCATTTTACCATGAGAGCCTGGTAACATCTACTCCCTCCGTCTCATAATGTAAGAGCGTTTTTTACACTAATGTAGTGTCAGAAACATTCTTATATTAGTAGGGATATTAGTAGGGCGGAGGGAGTACCTCCTAATCACTCTCCTCTGATCTTACATGGTGGAGAGTAACACTCTTATATTAGTAGGGCGGAGGGAGTACCTCCTAATTACTCTCCTCTGATCTTACATGGTGGAGAGTGGCGCAGAGTGGCGGAGATCCTTTGTTGAGAAGTGGCGTTATGAAGATGATGCATGGCAATGTTGCTTCCACCGTGGCTACGACGAAAAGTCTCGGCGGCATGGTGCAACGTAGCATCTGTTAGAATAAATCCGAGGCACTCCATCGATCATCTGAGGACCAAACAATCACACAAGCATGACACCGAGATTTGTTAATGAGGTTCACTGATATGGCTACATCCCCGGGACATGATTACGGGCGCTCCTCCCCTTGACACCGTCACAATACCGCACACCGGCCACCCGGGCGCCGGCACATGCCGCCGGCTCCCCCTTGCGCGCCTGTGCTATTATGTTGGCATATGTTACATCGTGTGTCTACCCCCGCTATATATGAGAGGCCTAGGATACAAGTGTCCTACTAGGACACGACTCCATATCCTATCTAAACACAATACTGCTCAGAGTCCAACTGTAACCTACCGTGTACACAATATTCGACACAACTCCAACAAACTCCACCTTGGCGAATATTCTCCACCACCTTGAATTTGTCAATGCGTCAAACTTCCATGTACATTGGACTTGAGCTTATCCCGTGAGTTCCGCTGCTACTTCAAAGACTCCATACGACTCCACCTGCAACTTGTAGTCTCTTCTTTTCTTGACCAAGGTCAACACTCGAGCAAAATTAAGTACCTTGTTACTCTAGTTTGTGCTCCCAACTTCCAGAGTATTCGTCCAACGTCATCACACACTGATCACTGACCTGCGTGAAAATAAACAACTCACATATTGGGTGTCACACGTAAGAGTTACCTGAACTCAACATCACCGCTCCTTTCTTGACCGCCTGTCTGAAACATGAAGAAATTTCATCGTTGCTTGTAGTCATCCCGAGTCAAATTCGCAATTGTCTCACCACATGTATGACCACCAGAGCCCTGGCCCGTCTCCATGTCCCGTGCATACCGCACGCCTCGCCGCTATTACTGCGTCGAGCCTCTGCTGTCCCGGTCGAGTCTCAAGGGTCGCAAACCCACACCACTCAACCCCCACTGCAGAGTACCACCGATCAACACCGACCGATGACGAGTTTCACGCTTTCATCAGACCATTGGGCTCCAGTCTGAATTATGTGTCCCTCGCTTTTTTCCCGCTGAAATAGGCTTCGATTCTCTAGATCCTTACACCGTAACCCCTCAATCCAGCTCCACCTTCAACATGACCCCATGGTAGATGATCAGTCCACCCTCGCGCCCCGTTGACTTCAAGCTCTCATCTACGCACCATCTTGAATCAACCCCGCGTCATAGTCTTGTCGAAGTCACACAAACCCTCGGGCCTGCGCCACGTGTTTCCACGCCCAGAAGTCGGTCACCATCAGCATCACGCTCCTATGTTGCCGTCACCGATCCCGCACCGTCTTCTGTACCAACCGACTTGTGTCGATCCGTCAGACTGTCCAGGCCAACTGCCCTATGTGTCTGACCCGAGCCGACTTTTCTGACTGCAACCATCTACAACTCCACGCAACCCTCATCATCCATCTTAACTGGTTGACATCCCGCAACGCCTTCAAGCCTCCTTGATGTGTCAGCAAATTTTCACCGCTGTCTGTCATAACCCAAGGTTTTCAGTTCTGTCAAACTTCTCCACCTCAAACCTGGTATTCGCTGGCGCCAGATTCTTTGTACGACTAACCGTGGTGTAGCTCCTGACTCAATCCCAATGCTAGCTTGCTTTGTCCTCCTGATGGATTTCCTTTGGATCTGATTAGGCTGCCTTACGTTGCACATCTACCACTCGGACTCGGTCTCCTTTTGTTTCCAAACAAATCATTGTCTGTTACTAAATTGCTTTGACCGTACTGCACCACGCCCATGTACGCCAGTACGCGCACGCCAGGCCACTGTTCGTCAAGGGCTGCTCCGCACAAGACCATGATGGCCCACCACAGCGGTGCTTGGGTTTCCTGCCGGCTGCCACGCCACATGCTGCAACGCGCCGTTCGAGCCTGCTGCTACGCCGCCGTCGCCCTAAACAGATCGCCGAGACTGCCATACGTACGCGCGTATCGCCTTGTGCTTCTTTCAAACACGACGTCGTCGTTTCCAAATCTTCAAGAGCAACTTTGATCCACCGACGCGACAACATCTGCTGCCATGTCTCCAATCATACTCATTGCATCTCGTTAGATCCCATCGACAACTTCCACGTGTTCTCCTCTAGATCAATAATTCACAGCCTCCGAACAACCTAGCTCATGATACCACTTGTTAGAATAAATCCGAGGCACTCCGTCGATCATCCGAGGACCAAGCAATCACACAAGCACGACACCGAGATTTGTTAACGAGGTTCACCGATATGGCTACATCCTCGGGGCATGATTACGGGCGCTCCTCCCCGTGACACCGTCACAATACCGCACACCGGCCACCCGGGCGCCGGCACATGCCGCCGGCTCCCCCTTGCGCGCCTGTGCTATTATGTTGGCATAGGTTACATCATGTGTCTACCCCCGCTATATATGAGAGGCCTAGGATACAAGTGTCCTACTAGGACACGACTCCATATCCTATCTAAACACAATACTGCTCAGAGTCCAACTGTAACCTACCGTGTACACAATATTTGACACAACTCCAACAGCATCGGTGACGGACACGTGTTGATGGACATGCGCACAGGGGCGGAGGCACGTTTGGGCCAAGACCCGGGCCCCAGGCTTGCTATAGTTTAGCTACAGTGTCAGACAGTGCACATCATGCTTCAGTCAAGGAAGGAAATTTTCCTAACGCCCCGGGCCCAGGCCCCCCCCCCCCCGGCCTGGGTCCTGTCTCAGCCACTGCATGCGCAGGTAGTGGTGCTGTCGGGCATTGCAGTGGCGTGAACAACAATATGGCATGGCAAGATGAATGTGTTGGTCGATCCTGAAGGTGGGATGGCGGAAGATGACGGCGTCTAATTCTAGAGTATGTGCATGCGGTGCGTGCTGGGGGCCTACTCGACCGGTTGGTGCTCTCGGCTTGTTTGTCGGCGGCTTAGTGAGGCCACCGGATTAGATGGTGTGTGTTTACATATGGTTGGATCACATCATCAAGCTTGTAGGAGTATTTAATGCCTAACGAAAATATTCGTCTCTTCACGACAAACTATTTCTCTAGAAGGATGAGACGCCCCTTTGCGTGTC